GGATGTGGAAATTGAACTGTTGGTGACCAAGGCATTGTAAATATCATATGTAAAGGTATTTGTAATTTTTGTGCACAATGAATATGGCCATATGATGGTGGATTTGCAATAATAGCTTCAGCAACAAATGATACACCTGTTTCATCATCATCTTCTATACATGCTTTCCATGTTGATTGAAGAATTTCAGCAATAACACGACGACTTTTAACAACATCACCTGCTACAATACTACTAACTGATGGTACAATACCAGCATTTTTAACCATAAATGACATAAGACTAGCTGGATCACCAGCTAATGGATAAAATTCAATACCATTTTCACGAACAAATTTTCGAAAAACTTCATGTGTTGCAAGGCGAACTCGATGACCATGTTCAAGAAGTGCTTTAGCAAGAGCAATAAATGGTTGAACATCACCACGTGTACCAACAATAAGCATTAAAATGGCAAGACGAGGTATTGGACCATCTATTATAGGTATCATATTAACATTTTCATTATGAGAATTTCGATTTTTATAATGTTCAATATCAATATTATTGTCGTCAATGTATTTCGTTAATGAATGAATAAAAACAGCAATGAGTCCATCGGAATCATCAAAACTTGCCATATAATCAAGACTTTTTCTTTGTCCCTTTTTTATTATATTTTCTTCAAGTTCATCAAGATCAACTTGACCAGATAAGTGATGTTGTAAAAGTAAACGAGCATGTAAACATAGTCGATATCCATATTTAGAATAAATCACAAGTAAATTTTCTTTATCATATTTTATATATTTCGTTAAATTAACTGGTTGTGATAGTGTATCAGAAAAAATTTTATTTTCATTTAACCATATTGTAATAGCAGGTATTTTTATATCTAAGTCATCATTTTTATTTTGCTTATTATTTTTAGATATAAATTCAAAATGCAAATAAATATTGTGATATTTATCAAGTATTTCTTTTAAATTAAATCGTTTTCTATACCAATATGAAACACATATTGAAGTAAATTTTTTTGATTTATTATTATTATAGTGTGGTAATTGAATATTTGTCCAATCTTGATCATTATATGAAAATAAAATAAATTCATTATCATATGAAGATATATTTGATAAACAAATATATCGCCAATCATTATCAAAGTCAATAGTAGTTGTTACATCTTTAATATCATTTTTAAACATTTCTTTTTGTTTTGTATTATTTTAATGAATAGATATATCACAACAGTTCTAAAAAACAAATTAAATTTTCTATATTTTATTCAAATAAATAAACAACCAAGGAATTGTTTCAATTTAAGTATTCATGCTTGCTTCTTACTCTTTGTTTGCTTATAGAAAAGAAACTGAATTGAAAAATAATGTTCCTTTCGCTTTTTCTTTTCTCTTTTCTTCTTTGAACTTCTCGCTTGTTCTTGTCCATTGTGTGTGTTTACGTAATGTATATATATTTATATGTGCACATGTTTCGTCATCGAACATTCATTGCCTTGACTAGGTAATAAAGAATCATGAATAAATATTCGTATTAAAGAAAATATTGTTAACTGTTCAATTGAAAATTGATTTAGAGAAAATCAATATAGAAAAAAATGTATAATTAGTCATATCAGAAATATATTATGTCTATAGTGCAAATCACTTCGTTTTTCGAGTAGACATAAAATCAATTATAAACATTGATTAGATATATGTATCAAAATTATTCTGTCTTGTAACCCACGTGAAAGTCATAATCATCATTTATATACCAAAATAAATAGAAGTTCTGCTGTCGCTAGAGAAAAATTCTATAGTAAGTTTTCAACTTCTTAAAAAATGTTCAAATAAAAATTGGTAGAATGTATGAATGTTTCTATGTTAGAAAATTAAATTTAAAATTTTTATCTTCATAAAGGTGTAAAATTCAAAAGTATCGAAAACATGCTGCCACCCAAGCAGACAAACATTTTCAAAAACGCGTTTAAACGCACAAAAAAGGGCTTAAAATCCATAAAAAGTGGACGTGTTCGACTCACAATCGCGGTCGCCGACTGTCAGCGAAAAACGACCACTTTTTGCCCTTTTTATGCGTTTAAACGCGTTTTCAGCAAAAAAACGGTGATAAACGCGTGTAAACGCATAAGACGATCATAAAAAGTAGTCATCTTTTTCATACTCATAAATCACAACCATAATTACAATCACAGTTCACGAAAAGGAAAAGGATAACTACTTTTTATGTTCTTTTTATGCGTTTATACGAGTTTATAAGCGTGTTTTTGCTGAAAACGCGTTTAAACGCACAAAAAGAGCAAAAAGTGGTCGTTTTTCGCTAAGAGTCGGGAACCGCGATTGTGAGCCAAACTCGTCCACTTTTTATGGATTTCAAGCCCTTTTTTGTGCGTTTAAACGCGTTTTTGAAAATGTTTGTCTGCTTGGGCAGATTAGAACGTAAATTTTATTATTATTATTTTTGTTAACTATGGTAACCAATTGTTTTTCTGAAATATAATATATAAGTAAATGAACGACTTAATATTGAAATATAAAACTTTTTGATTTTAACAGCAGCGAAAATGTTTTGTAATTGACAATATCAGCTAAGAAAGACTATCGAAAATGACAGAATTTACTTTTGCAGAAAAACTGCAAAAGTAAATTCTGTATAGACTATCTTTATGATGGAACTAACTGATATTGTGCAATTACATCGGCACTATTACATAGTGATATATACACCACGACCATTGAATGTTTTTCGTTCTTCGTATAGTATACATATAGGCTGTTTATAACTAGCGAACTATTGTTTCCACTATACGATGACATCATTATACATTCTTTTGTTTTCTATCTTCCATCTATATGAGATAGATTGCAAAAGTGAATTCTGTCATTTTCGATAATCTTTCTTGGCTGATATTGTCAATTACAAGAAAATTTTCGCTACTGTTAAAAATAAAAAGTTTTATATTTCAATATTAAGTCGTTGATTTACTTATATATTATATTTCAAAATAACTATGGCAGCATATATGGACGCATTTCGATACTAAGTAAAGGATTATTTTCGATCTATCTCGTATAGATGGAAGATAAAAAGAAAAAAGAATGTATAATGATGTCATTGTATAGTAGGAACAATAGTTCGCTAGTTATAAACAGCCTATATGTATACCATACGAAGAACGAAAAACATTCAATGGTCGTGGTGTATATATCACTATGTAATAGTGCCGATGTAATTGCACAATATCAGTTAGTTCCATCATAAAGATAGTCTATACAGAATTTACTTTTGCAGTTTTTCTGCAAAAGTAAATTCTGTCATTTTCGATAGTCTTTCTTAGCTGATATTGTCAATTACAAAACATTTTCGCTGCTGTTAAAATCAAAAAGTTTTATAATTGTTTTTCTTCTACAAAACCCAATTTGGCAAAACTAATACTCTAGGTCGACGTAGGTTCTCATATTCTACTCATTAACGTATATGATCATGCTTATCAATTACTTGATGTAAGGTTACATAGGCACGATATCGTCCCCATACAGCCTTGCATAAAGTGATTGATGAGCATAATCATTACGTCATTTTGTAGACCATGAAAAATTACGTCGATTTATAGTATTAGTTTTCATATTAAGTTTATAAACGAAAAAGATATGGCTAGCTACCATACTTGACGGAAACCACAAACAAATGTCCAGAAAAATGCAAAATTTCATGCTCTATTTTTGTAACCTCTTGAAACTGGAACCTAACGGGGTAGCAGGTTCACGCTCTAATCCGATTGCATTCTTTCTTGACATTTTGCTATTGAAATTAAAGTAAAAAATAAATGTTACACATTTGAAGAAATTATCTGTATTTTAGAATAAATGCTAAATATATTCAAGCATTATAGATGTATACATATGTGGGATTTCAAAACATAGATTATTTTTTATCTGCACATTAGGTTACATGAAATACAATACAAAACAACAAAATATAAAGGGTCTTCTATCAATTTACATACAACAACAACAACAACACACAACAACAAAAAAAAACCAAGTTATTGAGGTGTTGCTGAATGGCTACGTTGACGTTGGAACATTTTCCTACATTTTGTCCTTTTTGTTCCTTTTGAGTTTTCATTACCATTTTTCGAAGTATATCGACTTTTAATTTGTTCGAATTCATTTAATATTTTTTCACATATATCAATTTTTAGGCCTGATTCGAATGATGCTCGATATTCAAGTGACGTATCTTCGTCCATAATCCTTGATTCAGATGATCTTCGTATCTGCTGAGGTGAATGTAATACTGTTAATTGATGATTTGAATTTGCATCTTTATTTCGTGATGAATTTTTAGTTTGAGCATAAATACCTCGACCTAACCAAGTTAATGAAGCCAATGTACCAACAGCAGGTTTAATAACAATACTTGGTATCGCAGCAGCTGCACCTGCTGCTCCACCTAAAATACCATGTCTTTGATAACCTATTCGAGGCTTATTTACAATCCCAATAACACCATCTTTAATCCCATGCCATATAGAAAGTTCAGCAGCTTTTGCACCAGAACTAAAATTTTTTACATGTGGTCTTTTACGTTTATCTGAATCAAAATATGGATCATATAATTCGGGTACACGTTCAAGTGCATCTGTTACTTCACCATAAAATGATAAACAACCGACATATACATGTCCAAGACTTTTCCCCACACCTTTAATAATACATTCTGTACCATCAAGTGTACCTGTTATTAAACTATTTGAACTTGCTGCCTTCTTTAAACCTTGTGGTGTATCAATAAATAAACTTTGAAGAGCTTCACGTCCATGTTTTATGAAACCATGTATTGGTATATGTCGACGATCATCATACATAGATGCACTCCAATCACGAGTAACAAGTAATGTTAATTCAGATTCTTTAATAGCTCCAGCAGCAAGAAGTACTTGAGCAACTGGACGTGAAATTTGTAAATTATAATCATTTAATCGAAAACATGCACCAAATGATGATTCAAGATCACTACGCATTTTACTTAATGGTAAATTTGCATGAAATGATCGAATGGCAGCTTCACAACCATTTTCATTTTGAAATGCAATACTTAATTTATGAGCAGCTTCACGTGTGCCTGGTTCATGTGCAATTTTAAATGCTTCAATTAAATCATTCACATTTAACCGTTTACCAGGAATTGGTGGTGGACCAGCACCAGTTTTACTAATCATCGATCCCCAAAAGAATTGATCACCAAAAAATGGTACTATAATAGTAGGTTTTCCAGCACGAAGACCAGCTGCAGTTGTACCTGCACCACCATGATGACATACAGCTGCCACTAGAATATATATTAACAGTTGCTTTTTTAGAATTAAACAAAAAAAAAAAAGATTTACCATGTTGAAAAAGCCAATCATGTGGACAATTACCAATGCGAAATACATTACTAGGTAGTGCATCAGTTTCTTTAGCTAATCCAGATAATATAGCTCGATATCCAGTAGCTATTAAAGCTTTTAATACGATTCGCAAGATTCGTTCAGAATCATGACCAGTAATTGAACCAAAGCCAATATAAATTGGTGGATCACCTGATTCAAGAAACTGAATAAGATCTTCCGGTGGTTTATAATTTGTTGCAAGATCAAGAAAGAAAAATCCAGATACATCAATATTTGAAGGCCAATCAGTTGGTTTAGGAACAAGCGAAGGTGACCAACAATATGTATGGGGTACATGTTCGTCTATCATTAAACGAACAGCTTGGCGAGTATGTAA